AGGGGAGGAGAAGTGTTCTGCGACCGGGCTTCTGTACAGCTTTTTTGTCATCCAATCAGATCTATGAAGGTTTATCCTTATGTGTAGCTTTTCAGTTTCTCCCACGTACTGAAGGCCACAGATCTTACATGTGATGAGATAAATCACATTCTCTGTTTTGCACGTTTTGTTTGGACCATGTATGTTTAGTTTTTCTTTAGTCACTGTGCTAGTGAATGTCTTGGTCTCTATCATATGTTGACAGGTTTTGCATCTTTTATCGCCACAGGGTCCAGATTGACTGATTGTATTTATAGTTTTAACACATGTGAAGATAGAAATGTAGAGGTTTACAAACGCAACGTTTTTGTGTTTATTTGTTTGTCGTAACTATGTTTTGTATTTGCCTTTGAAAAAGACTCATTAAGAGTCGAAAGCGCTTAGGCTAGTTAGTTACTAGTTTCGTACTGTTCGTCGTCAGTTTATTGCATCTATATATATATATATATATATATATATATATATATATATATATATATATATATATATATATATATATATATATATATATATATATATACTGGTTTGGCTTTTGTATAAATAATAGAAAGGAAATTTTAAAAATAATGCATTAACAAAAAAATCCTTTGTAATAAGAGAAAAATTGTATATGCCAAAGATTTGATTGCAAAATTCAAGAATAAAAAAGAAATATGGGAAGGGGATAAAAATATATATATACAATACTAAGAAACTTACACAACGAATACAAAATGCAAAGTTAAGAAGGAAAATTGGGGAATTGATTGGGATAGCTCATGGAAAAATTGGGCCAGTATAAACTCAGATAAACTACAAAGTATACTTTTTAATTTTTGCATAATGTGTGGCTGACAGGAGAAGTAGTAAAGAGGAGGAATATGTTTAGAACTATTCCAAAATATCCTCTTTGTAAAACAACAAACTTTACAAAATGCATGTGATAACTGAATGTAAAATGATCAAAACACAAAGAGATAAAAATATTAATTTAATATCAGAGAAAATTTTATATAACAATAATATCCTTTTATATACAGATAAGAATTTGGGGAAAAAGACCTTGTTTGAAATAATTAGCTTTATAGTTAGTACAATGAAACAATGCGGACAAATTATAGTCATAGGTTTACAAGATAGATCCCTAACTCTAGAAATTCCTTTTTTTTTTTTCCTTTTCAATGCACTAAATTACTAATCAACCCATAGATAAGGAATCCTAGAAATAATAATATAATTAAAGTAACATATACTTTACATTTGGGTTGATATTTAGAACAGGGGCCTACACATGTATGAAGAAGGAGACAATAAGGCCACCAGGCGAAACCATAAGACCATACGCGAAGTGGGATGGCTGGTGGAGGAGCCTCCGAAAATTACATGTGCAAGACATGAACAGTACAAAAAATATGGGGATGTTATAATAAAGGATTCCATGAGAAAAGAAAGATACTAATAAATTTAAGGAACGTTATATTTTACATTTAGAAATTTTATATTTGGGATCTTTTTATTCAGGGAGAGTATGGAGTAAGGCACGGTCAACGACAAGAAAAGCGAGTCAGAACTATTAAAACAATAAAATTAACATATTCTTGGATTGTATTATAGTGATTCAACTAAACACTGTTTGATCATCACTACAACAAAGGTCGCCACAGGCACACCAACACTTAGATTTATTTTAGAGTACCGCTAGCTTGTGTTCTATACTTTAATGATTAGGACCTGAAATCGAATTTCTTCGATTATTTGAGATTTTTTCGCAATACCAAAAGTTCTTTTAACATTTTTTTTTTACTTTGTATTCTATAGGTATATAAATAATTAGTTTATTTTTTTTAAAAAATCTTGTTGGTTATCGCTCTTTATGTTACCTATGTTAAGACCATAAAGTAGTAATATACCAAAGATTTGTATACAACTGCTTTTAAGTTTGCAAGACGGAGTTTGTTGTTTCATTTTAGTAATCTTGCACACAGGTTACAGTTATCAACTAAATACCACGAATGAAATAGTAAAGTGAAATAGGTTTGAGAGATGAGTAATACTTATTATTTGGAACTATTGAATTCCATATCCAACATTTGCTGTCAGTTTTACAATTTTTGTATGCCAGTTTTCAGAACTACCGATTTATTTATTGTCAGATGTATGGCTGTGTCATAACAAAGGCCTTACACTTTGTTGCTAATGCTCTAATGACGACATTTTTCTGACATATACATGCAAATGAATTGTTTTTTTTTTTCAATAATGAACACGCATGACGAGCTATTCAACCCACCCATAAATAAATGACTAGGAAATATATGATTGGTAGTTCTATACCACATTTCTTATATAAGTTTGACAAGTAAATGTTATTTCCTACGTAAATACCGAATATATTTCACCTTGAAGTACCTAAAAGAAAATGATATATTGTAACTCATGGGTTTTGCCAGTCGTTAAAATCAAAGGGGCTCGTATCGTTTCTTACAATTTTCTTGTTATACATGTACTACAATAATAACACTATTATTATAGAATACTTATATGACTGCAACGATACAAGCTCCTGTATAGACCAACAAGTAGGTCTCTTGTTTTCTGTGAGAAATAAAAGCTGAGTCCAACTTGGTGGGTCTCTTGTGGATACTTCATTTTTTGATACCACACAATGAAATATTTCCCGAATTAACCTAGGAAAGTAGTCTAACTAAAATTTATAGCGGCACACACACGTAAAAATTAATCCATACTGTGTCATTACACAGCTGTCCTAGTCCTAATATCACACCGCCGTCCTAACATTTTTATAAAACTTGAAAGAACTAATACGTACAGTGATACAAAATATCTTTATATAAAATCCTGGCTATATTGTAAGTTGTTAGCCCGGTTAGCTCAGTCGGTAGAGCACGGGACTCTTAATCCCGGGGTCGTGGGTTCGAGCCCCACATCGGGCGAATTATTTTTTTTTTGTTTTCTTTTAAAGCTTCTCTTTAAACATAATTTAAGGAGTGAATAGTTTTTGTTTGTTTGTAAGGGTTTTTTGTTGTAAAGTTTCGTTTAAACGTAATTTAAGGTGTTTTTGTGTGTGAGAGGAGGTTAAGCATTGCAACTTTCATGTTTTAAATACTCTAATTATAATAACCATTACAAATCATAAAATAAACTGACACAGGGACTGTGTTTAAAGTGCTGATTTCAGATTATTCAAAAGCAGTTTTGAACATAACCACCACCACACCAAGTTTTACAGGGTTTTTTTTGTTGTTGTTTTTTCCTCGCAGAGTTCTTTATTGATTAAATTATTTTAATAGCTTCAGTTAATTAATTACGCCATGAAAATAATCAACAAGTATTTGGGTAAGGCTATATAATTAATTATACTATTCACATTTTGACGTTTTCGATAATTTTATATTATTAGTATTAATTTTCCGAATACCTAATAATAATAATAATAATAATAATAATAATAATAATAATAATAATAATAATAATAATAATAATAATAATAATAATAATAATAATAATAATAAATATAATAATAAATATAATAATGATAATAATAATAATAAATGCATTTTTCATTAAATTATACAGTAAGAGAAAATAGTATTAAATATTAATTTTTATTCTCTGAATCATTATGATTGAATTCTGTTCTTTTTTACTCCCCACCGTCTTCAACAATTTTGGGTGAGAGACTGTGTTGTTTTAGAAGGTTAAGGATTCATTTATTCTCACAAAATCTTGATGCAAAATCCGTCAAGCCTGTTTCAGTTACTTATTAATTTTTTTTCAGAGAGAACCATAGTGTCAAATTCACCATAAAAACACAGTTGAATAGTCGGCTTCACGATAATTTTGGTGTGAGAGATCACAGATAATGTTACATGACATAGTGTCATCTCTTCTTGAATTTCTCTATCAAAAGGCCATTTTATATTTAGGGTCATACGATATGAAGCATTCAATAATTCAATTTTGAATGAGACTATTAAAATACTCGCGGAATATAGAATTGACAGGGTCTAAAACGAAAGCCGTTGCTCTAAAAATAGTTGAAAATGGATTAAAATTCATTTTGAGTCCTGTTTTAAGAACATTTTAGTCCTGACTTGAAGGCGTTTGAATCCATATTTTTCTTCTGATGACTGAGAAACATTTCACGTCCAAATTTTATCATGCAATCTTGTTAGTTCTTGACAGCAGGCTATTTAACATAAACTAAGTCCCTATTTAACTCTACCATCGAATCTCTTTGATTGTAAGATACAGCAAAATTATAAGCAATATTACGCGGTATTGTTTGTTTTGTTGTTTGTTAGGGGTTTTATGCTTTTTTTAAACAAAAAAGATATGATAATATGATACGTGCCATAAAGTTCGTCATTTTTAATAAGAGAGAATGAAACCATAAAATCTGATCCGTGTGTGTGTGTATCCGAAGTACAAAGGAATGCCAGTTCGCTTTTTACATCCCATAAAGATATCTCCAGTAAAACTGAATCACCTGCTGTGGCTATTTTACGCAAAATGGTATACGTGTTGATTGGTACAGATTTAATATAGAAGAAGTAAAGCACATTTTTATGACCAAAATTTTACAAAAGAGTTATTGTGAAGGCACAGTCACCATTAAGGAAAAAAAATAATTAAAAACTGTTTTATATTGCAGTGTTTATAATGGGAAGAAAATATGATATCATTAAAAAAAAAAACACAACAAAGATTTTACGTCGTTTACAAATGGCGTGCTTGAAGGTTAACATCAGACAGAACATTATTCGTAATCAGGCTTATTATCTGTTTTTCACAAAAATTAAATACATATTATTCCATTAATCTATACATACATACATACATACATACATACATACATACATACATACATACATACATACATACATACATACATACATACATACATACATACATACATACATACATACATACATACATACATACATACATACATACTGGGG